TTTAAATATAATATAATACAATATATAGTATTAAACAGAAATTTATACAATACATGTAAATTGCGTAACAAATTTTTTGAATAATTTCACTCATACAATTTATTAGGTTTCATGTGCCATGATTCAAATCGAAATCAAAAATGAATTTTTTTTAGCATATCTTCACGTTTCAAAGATTTCTAAACATTTTGGCATACCTTAGAAAAAATGGTTGTGTATGTGCATGTATTTGTATAAACAATTTTTCGTCGACGTTTTCGGGAGCACGGATCTACCGATTTGAATGATTCAAACAGCATTCGATTTCTATTGATAAGGAGACGTGCTGATCTATTTTTGGCGAAAGTTGGTCCAGCCGTTTAGGAGATACGGAGCAAAGAGTGCAGAAAATGGCAATTAAGTTTATGAGAGAACGGTGCATCCGATTTGAACGATTCAATAACATTCCATTTGTATTGATGTAATGAAGAATTGATTAAGTTTTTGCAAAGGCAGGTCCAGCGGTTTTGGAGTTTCAGAAAAAAGTTTAAAAAAAATGCCAGTCGAAAATCAAATATTTTGTAATTTGGATTAACAGATATGAATCAAAAACTTTGAAGAAATTTCAAAAAATAGAAAATAATAAAATTTCAAAGTTTTCAAAATCTTCTACGTTTTCGGAAAATATCTCAGTATATTCAAAAAGGTATTTTTTTTCAATAATCAAATATTTCACGTTGGGGTCACCAATGTGGAAATGTGTTAATTTGTAATTAATAATTTCCAACTTTATAAAATGTATTACAAAATATTTGTTTACAAAAATATGTATTATGATATGTGATTCTACTTTTTTCGTGTGATTCTACAGTTTTCAAAAATGTTGAAAAAAATCGGATGCTTAGTTCTCTCAAAAACTGCCAAATAGCTCTGTATCTCCGAAATGGTTGGACCTGCATTTGCAAAATACTAATCACCAAATCTCCCCATCATTACGAATTGAATGTTTTTTGGATCATTCAAATCGGATGCTACGTTCTCTCAAAATTCGATTTCCAATTTCTGCACTTTTTGATCCGCATCTCCGAAATGGCTAGACTTGCCTTTGCTAAAAACTAATCAGCACATCTCCCTATCAATAGGAATCGAATGTTTTTTGAACCAATTGAATCGGTTGATCCGTGCGCACGAAAACGTGAACTAAAATTGTATCCATACATACACACACACACGCGCAACACAACACACACATCTAGTTTTTCAGAGGAATGCCAAAATGTTCAGAAATCTTCAAAACGTGAAGAAATGCAAAAATTTAAATTTCGATACCATTTGGTGGTCGAAAACCAAAACCATTTTGTAATTAGATTAACCGATATGAATGGGTATCACAAACTTCGAAGAAATTTCAAAATTTAAGAAAAAAATAAAAAACAATATTTTTTTTAAGTTTTCGAAAATATCAGTATTTTAAAAAAGACATTTTTTCAATATTCAAATGTTTTCAAAAATGTTTAAAAAATTCATATTTACAAAAAACTTTCTGTTTCTGAGACCCATACATAGTAATTCCAATTTCAACGTTTCAGAATGATTTGGAAAAATCATAAACTTTTCATTCGATAATTTAAAAGTTGCATTTATTTTCTATTTATCTATTTTTATTAAAATTATCTTTTGTAATATTCATATTAGGCCATTTCCGATAACGGTGTAGCCATAATTAAATTAATTTTCATTTCCAATGTGTAAAACTATATAATTTGTTTAGCACATTTTAAATATGATAATTTTTGCAATTAGCAAACACTTGACATTCGCAATTAGAACTGGAATTCTTATTGTTTGTTTGTTTTAGTAAGTGGTCGAGCGAAATACTTGAAAAATGTAGGAATTGATAATAGTTGATTTATGGAATGTTTTCTTTCAATACAAAATATTTGTTGCAGAATTTAAATAACATTTGCTCAAAGATTAATTTAATTAGTGATATTAATAATAGGTGTGTTTGAAAATTACCCAGTTTTGGTTTATATGTGGAATATCTATAAGTGGAATAGTTTGGTAGGAAAGAGTATTTAATAAAATTTGGTTATTGTATCTTAAGTGATAGTTTGTTTGTGTTTCACTAAATATTATAATAATTTTGATTTAAAATACCGATACGTTTAAATTTTTTTTTCGTTGGTCGTATCCCCTCGTATTATTTCGTGAATGGTTCAACGTTTCCGAGAGGTCATGAGTGTATGTATGCTGGACAACATCAGGAATCTTAAAAAATTTTATTAAGATTATTCTTGGATTTGTCTAAAATGAGTCGAAATATATAATATTTGAATATTTAATTTTTAAAGTAAAACTTCTTTAGGCGCGACTAGGGAGTAAAGCTGTGAAAATGCAACGGAAGTTGCGTTACGCCCGAACTGTTCGTCATTCGCTCTCGATGAAATCATTGCTATACGGGTCGATTGTGATTAGTCGTCGTGTCAAGTGAATAGAGATCTGTTCATATCACTGATTTATCATATTTGAACTGCCAATGAGTATTGGCCTTGTAGAAGACCTGTGCACGTTTTGTTCCACATGACGCATTATGATAATACGACGGCTTAGCGACAAAATCTTATCAGATTATTTTACTATAAATTCAAAAATAGCATTTTGAATCATCAATCACTTTCTTCTATATTTGCCTGATGTGGGTCCTGGTATTTCTATTTATTGACTAAATAATATTTGGATGAAAAAGGTAAACGTTCTGCGAGCGTAAAAAATAACCAAAAGCTTTTTTCTGTGTAATTTCATCATCCGATGAGAATGTGAGCAGAACTCTGTGACTTTAGGAATTGATTCTCCAATGAGAATCACTTTCTTCTTCATTTGTTTGGCTCTTTGACTTCTATATATTTGGTTAATGGAGGAAAACGTTCAACGAGCATAAAAATTACCAAATGCTTTTTTCGGTGTAATTTCATCATTCTGTGAGATTAGGTGCTGATATCCATGGTTTTGGATGGTTTCTCCAATGAGAATCACTTTCTTTTTTATTTGTTCGGCTCCTATAACTTTTTTCTATTTTTGGTTAAAATTCTAACTATATTTGGTTAAAAAAGTTCTACGAGCGTAAAAAATAAATAAAATCTTTTGTCCGTGTAATTTCACCATCCTGAGACTAAGAGCTGGTATGACGATTTTACTGAATGTCAGTGGTTCTTTTCTACAATAAGCAGACAAAGATTTAACCATACATACACTCCGTTTCACCTGAGTAGAATTGGGATCAATACCGATCCCAATTGCTATTGCTTGGGTGGAGCGACTAAGGCGGATGCTGAGCACGACATTATGGAGTACAAAAAATAGGAAATGGGTAGACAAGAACTATGGAGGGAGATAGTAAGGCAAAAAATCACCCTCCCAACCAATTTTATAACATTATTGACAAAGAAAAGGATATATGATGCGCTATATAATTATATACAATGAAATAAAATAAAATTGTAAAGTTAACTTATAAAATGTATATGACTAATGTACGTGTATATAAAGTTAACAAATATACAATAAATAAAAGAACTGATCTCCGTGGCTTTGGGAAGGTTTCTTCACGTCCTTTTTGTATTTGTCTGATATGGATCCTATGACTTCCATCTATTCATTGAATTTTATTTGATTAAAACAGGAGAACGTTTTGCGAGTGTCAAAAATAACCAAAAGCTTTGTTTCGGTATAATTTCATCATCCGATGAGACTATGAGCTGATTTCCTTGGCTTTGAGATGGTTTCTCTAATGAGAATCACTTTCTTCTTTATTCGTCTGTTATGGCTACTATGACTTCTATCCATTCACTAAATCATATTTGGTTAAAGAAGGAAAACGTTCTGCGAGTGTAAAAAAGAACCAAATCGTTTTTTTCGGTGTAATTTTATCATCCTGTGAGATTTGGCAAGGTTTCTCCAATAAGAATCACATTTTTCTTTATTAGTGTAAAATGGTTACTATGACTTCTATATTTTTATTGAATTTTATTTGTTTAAAACAGGAGAACGTTCTGCGAGTTTCAAAAATAACCGAAAGCGTTTTTTCTACTTATGAGACTGAGCGGATCTCTGTAGATTTGGGAAGGTTTCTCCAATTAGTACCCCTTGCCATACAATTAGATGGCAATATGTTCCATAGTTTTTTAGTCGGTACTCCTTGACTTATTGTTTTGTGCTTACTGATTTGGATGATCTGATCATATCATATAGATCCTTGTGCAGTTTGACATTGGCAACATACCACAATTAACGTTTTAGATTGCTATCTTTGTGTTATTTTCATGTTTGGCTGGCGTACGTTAATAGTTCTTCTTAAATAATGTTACCGTATGGTTTTTTATATTAGGACCGTATTCAAAGTCACGACCTTCTAGCATTTGTACCAAGATTTTGAAGGATATTCCGGCCTATGACCTTAAACATAGCTTTGAAATTATGATTTGCAAAAATTGTTGCAAAATATTTTTGGTTGTGAGAACTTGCTAGGATTTGTACCAATAGGTGTAACAGCAGAACTTGCTAGGATTTGTACCAATATTTTTAGGGATGTCTCGGTTTTCGAACTTAAGCATTTTTTCGAAATATTTTTGATTGTTAGGGCTGATGCTAAACGCCAGAATCTTTTATGATTTGTACCCGCATTTTGAAGGATATCTGATCTGACCTTAAAAATCGTTTCGAAGGATTGCATCAACATTTTGAATAATATTCCGGTCTATGATGTTGTACATTGTTTCAAAATACTTTTAGTTCCTTCTCCTACGCCTTTTAGGAGTAGTATCGAGTTTTGATCGTAAAATTAGGAAAGATGAACAAGTTTTTTGTAGAGGAAACTTCCTGCTGTTGTTAATATAGCTCGGAATCTTTTATTAGTAGAGGCATTATGCAAATCATTCAGCGATTTGATATTTTATAATTTTTAATTAATTTATATATGACTTAGATAACTTTTTTAAAAATTATTATATAGTTGATGTAATATCACGACATTGTGTCTCGTGTTTCCCAACGAGAAGTCTGTCCAATTCAATTTTCAAAGGTATAAATTTGTTTAGGGCAAATTAATTTTAGAACCGTTAAAGGTTGGGAAACACTGGTTTGTTATTTTCGGATGTAGTATTTAGTTTTTCTTTTCTATTTCACAATATCTTATCTCCCTTTTTTTTTCATAGATGCACAATGAAGCTACAACGTGTAGTCTCGACTTTAGCCCGTACCAAAAACTGCACAAACAAATATTACCACAGCCATCGGATAGACCTCTATCGTGGTGCCAATTTACCAGTTTTATGTGTAGGCCATAATAACACATTTCATGATGCGACACCGACAGTCGTCCTGGTGAGAAATTTTAATGCTCCCAGCGTCAGACTTTGCGAGAAAGAAGGAGTCACAAAACCATCGTCGAAAGTTGAAGTCACCGTCCAGAAGTTAAAGGATGATCAGAAACTGAAGAGTCAGCAGGAGAGTGCGGAGAATGTTTCCACGGTTACGGCTCTCAAACCTGCAGGTCATTTTAGATTTAGCTTTATAATTATATAGTATTTTTATTGTTCAATCAGTTAATAATTCCGACCAAAATTCAACCAGATAGTGCCGAGATAACAGTTGTGAAGAAAACGCTGAAACAGAAAATAATACATGAACTTCTACATTACTACCATGGTTTTCGGCTTCTTTTCATCGATTTAAATGTATCCAGAAAATTAATTTGGCGAGTACTGAATGGAAACCAATTGACCAGGAGGGAACATAGATTGCTAGTGAGAACCACTGCTGATCTTTTCAGACTTCTGCCATTTTCTGTGTTCATTATTGTGCCTTTTATGGAATTACTGCTGCCAGTTGCCATCAAACTATTCCCAGGAATGTTGCCATCGACCTTCCAAACTGCCACAGAAAGAGAGGATAAATTGAAACAAAGTTTGAAGGTAATACACCAGTAACTGCATGTTATGTGTCTGTATTTATAGTGTTGATTTTCTAGGTAAAACTAGAGATGGCTAAATTTCTGACGGAAACATTGGACGACATGACTCTACAACACAAAGATCACAGATCAGAATTGGCTAAAGAGTTTTCAATTTGGTTTACGAAAATGAGACAGTCTGGTGCTCAAGCCAGTAACGAAGAAATCATGAAATTTTCAAAATTGTTTGAAGATGAAATCACTCTTGACTCGCTGGCGAGGCCGCAACTTGTTGCTTTATGCAGGGTACTAGAAATCAGTACTTTAGGTAATTACACCATGCTCTCTATTATTAATTTAAATACGCAAATATTTGAATGTTATCTTTTATTGCAGGAACAACAAATTTCTTAAGGTTTCAACTGCGAATGAAACTACGTTCATTAGCTGCTGATGATAAAATGATTCAAAAAGAAGGCATAGTTTCTATGACTTATTCGGAGGTGCAACAGGCCTGCAGAGCTCGTGGAATGCGAGCTTATGGTATGCCAGAACATAGGTTGAGGAGGCAATTGGAAGACTGGATTAATTTAAGCTTGAATGAAAAGGTAATATACAAAAACAATCTATATGACAAACAATTTTTATTATTCATTTTATTTAATAGGTTCCACCATCATTATTGCTTTTGTCAAGGGCGCTGATGTTGCCCGAGAATGTTCCAGTGTCTGATAAACTTAAAGCAACAATAAATGCTCTTCCTGAAACTATTGTAACTCAGACAAAGGCTGCTATTGGAGAAAGAGAAGGAAAGATTGACAATAAGACCAAAATTGAGGTAAGTAGATAAAACAGATAATAATATGGTTCTTTGCCTCAAGGTAGGTCCATGGTGTGAGAGCACCATAAATTTTAGATTCCTTTTCTTTTATACACTTGTATGCATTTTCTTTTCTAAAGCTTCTATTCTTCCCAGTTCTGTGCTTTGTCTTTTAATTTTCTGTATGTTCTTCTCTTGCATAAGTCATCAATCATTTGAATTCTTTTTCTTCTTCCTAATCGTTTCAGACCTTCTATTTTAGTTCCGACAATGTCGTGCAGTGGGCACTGTTTTTGCAATATTGGCCCAATTCAGTTTTCTTTTCTTTCCACGATTGTGCATACTTCTTTCTTATGCCACTTTTCTCAGCACTGTTTTATTTGTTATCTTATCTGTCCACTTTTATTTTCTCCATTTCAAAACTCTTCAGATAGTTTTTTGCTGGTCTGTCTTAACAGGTATTAAGATTTATTTTTTATATTGATAAACGTAATTATTCTTATATTTTTCAGGTCATCAAAGAGGAAGAACGCAAAATTCGCGAAGAACGCCAAGAAGCACGTGAGGAAGAGGAGCAACGCAAGCAAGCCGAACTTGCTCTTAATGCCAGTTCTGCAGCAGCTGAGGCCTCTTCTGCTCAGGAACTTCTGATAGATACAGCTCCTGTGATAGATGCAGAAAAGACACCAAAGGTGGCAACATCACCTGTAGAATCACCATTGGCACCACCAGAAGTTCTGATTATGGGCGCTCCTAAGATACCTGTTGCAACTGAAGTGGATAAGAATGCTGATGAGGTGGAATTCACCAAGAAAGATCTTGAGGTGATAATTTTAATGTTTACTAGGGAATCCGAAGGTCTTGAAACATGAAAATTCAAATACAAATACATTATATTTTAAATTTTATAATTTTTTTTATTATAATCCTTTTTATGTCATAGGTTGTTGAAGATGCATTGGATACACTATCGAAAGACAAAAATAATTTGGTGATTGAAAAGGAAGTTATTAAAGACATTAAGGAAGAAATTGCTGATTACCAAGAAGATGTAGAAGAATTGAAAGAAGCCATAGTTGCTGCTGAGAAACCAAAGGATGAGATAAAAGAAACTAAAGGAGCTCAACGGTAAAATCATATTCATTATAGACTAACTAACAACTTTCTAGTTTTTTAATCTTGGTATTGCCTAATTTTAGAATTTTACAGATAGTTTCATATTCATTATACATTAACTAACAACTTTTCAGTTTTTTAATCTTGGTGTTGCCTAATTTTAGATTGGACTTATTGAAAAAAAAAATCACATGAGTATTGATTTCAATTTGTTATATTATTATAATTTTACAGATTGTTGAAGAAGGTTAACAAAATGATAACGAAAATGGATACTGTTGTACAAGAAATTGAAAGTAAAGAATCTGAGAAGAAAGCCAAAACATTGCCACTTGAAGCTCCTAGGAGCGCTACTGAAACTCAAGGTAATATATAATAAAAAAATAACAATAATAATAGATGAATAAATTAACAATAGATTTCTTAATAAATTTGATTCAATTACTTTTGATTTAAATTTTATTTAACATTTTAATTTCAATTATTCTAGAATTAGATGTAAGGAAAGAAAGAGGAGAGATTTTAATTGACGAATTAATGGACGCTATTAAGAAAGTTAAAAATGTGCCAGACGAAAATCGCTTGAAATTAATTGAGAACATTTTGGGCAGGATCGATACTGACAAAGATAGGCATATCAAAGTTGAAGATGTATTGAAGGTAAATAGTAATTAATTATATTGATACAGATATCTTTGAATGATTATTTGAGAAATTAGGAGAAAAAAGGACAAAATGTTATGGAGCTTTGTTTGTTTATTGATATTCATTTATTTAATGGTATTATAATAAGTCTCAATCGTTTTTACTCAGTTTAGATTCATTGACTACCGGTAACATGTATTTTAATTAAGTAGGAACTTTAATGACATACTTATTAAGGAGAAATGCAACTAAATACAAAAACTATTTTGTCCATATTTTAAGAGGCAGTTTACAAATAAATTGTTTGGTCCTTTTTGAGATATCAGCTCATAATGCATGAGTAAGGGTTTAAATCATAATCAGCATATCAATCTTCGCCGAATCATAACGGGAAAAGAGTTTTTGCAAAAAATTAAATCTTATTTTTACCTGGATTCTTTGGTCTATTTTAAAAGTAGTTGGAAAAGCTACTTACTTTTTACAGGTTTACAATTTTATTTCTTGGCCTCGAATTAACCAGTAAGTTTTGTGAAATAGTATTATGTCCGAAAGTGAACAAAAATAAACAATTAATCAAAATTCCATCAAACACATGATTATTGCAATAAAATTGATTGAAATTAGTAGTACATGCATAAATTCATTGATTTTAATTGAAATAATCACGAATATCAATATAGGTCCCCAAACAACACGAGAAAAACTCTCCCAAAATAAACTTCAAAAAGCGAAACACATTTGAACTGATTACTGCACAAGACTGTGACAATGACGCCCAACATCTGACAGAGTTGTGATGATTTTCGTCACGTTAAACAGTCCGCGACTAAATGTTACTCAAATTTTGTCTATATATACCATTTTGCCCATATCTTTCTTTATATATTTTATACCAAATTTCTAATTTATTTAGGTTATTGACATTGTGGAAAAAGAAGATGGTATCATGAGTACAAAACAATTAGATGAGTTGGTTCAGCTTTTGAAAAAGGAGGAAGTTATTGAATTGGAAGAAAAGAAAGAAAAGCAAGAGTCTCAACAGAAAAGTTTTGTACCACCAAGTGAAACTTTGCATCTTGAATCATCACAGCAGAAGAGTACAGTTCCTAGCTCGGGACATGAAGCTAAGGTAAGTGATTTAATATTTTTGCTTGATTATTCACTTATTACTCATGTTTTATAGCATGGTAGTGCCATATTAGTAACAATTAATATTTATTTATTTATGCTATTTTTAAATATACATAATTTAAGAAAAAGAAAAACTTACTCTTGCAAGCTTTTAAATTATGGTGGAATGCCATTTGATATTTTAATTTTATTTTAGTTAAATGAGTATAGTGTGCAGTTGATAAACTAAAGATACAAATGAGAAATCAATGATTTTAAAACTGATTTACAACACTTAAAATATATACACAACAATTACTAAAAACTACAAATATTCAACACTTACAACCACAAATCATTATTCATAGCAGAGTCATTTAAGGATAATTTTCTTGACTCTATATTTAATCTTGCTTACTGACAGTCCGAATATATCTATATCTCACAATTAGAAGCAAATTTGTTATTATTTTCAAGCTAGAAGCTTAGTGTATCAAATTTAAGTAAATCTTCAGTTGAGAAAAAAGTGTTAGTTTAATTTAAATATTATTTAAAGAACCTAATAGTTACTGTTTATTTATTAATGTTGTTGGTGGATGCACAGTGTTTTCTGTTCTCTGGTGTTTGTGTAACAATTCAAAGATCATCATATCATATTCACTGCTCATTGAACTGGCTTTAACCTCATTCTGCTTACACCGAAAGGATTTTTGTCATTTAAAAATCTCAATTGAACAGGTGTCCGAAGATGACTTAAATGTTAAAAATAAAAATTTGGAAGAATCGACCAAACTGAATGTGGAGCAATTGACGAAGAGCACAGAAGAGAGCATTGCCAGTACCCAGACATTACAAAGAAAAAACAAAGAAAATAGTAAAAATTTGTAAATAATATATTATATATACATAGAGTTTTATATTTGATATGAAGATAAGCTAAAGATTTTATTATACGTACTAGTACAATTTGAGTATTGTACAACAGCACAAGTGATACTTAAAGTGATTTTTTCTTAATATTATTTGCTAAAGCAAATATGCATAGTGCAATAATTTATATATGCTCTTAATTAATATGTGATTTAATATGCACCTCAGGTTTAAATTTATTTATTAATCTCAGATATGACATAAAATTAGTTAAGATTAGAAAATATAGTGTGCATATTGGTGAAAGAAAAATCATTTGTATTTCTTTATTATATGTACTTTTGTAGGCTAAAGAAGTTCTATTAAGTTCTGTAATTACATGCCATAAATTTTTCTAAAATGTCAATAATCATTATCTTATTTTGGCATATTTAATTCATATTTCCAAGTTGCATCAATGATGCAGAAATTTCATCACTTTTTTCAATTTAAATTACCTGCTCTATGCATATTTGTTATTATCGTTAATGTTTTTAGAACAATTAGTAATTTCAAAGTCTTCAGTGATTGATTTAATTATATTATTCCACAAATGTGAAAAAGATACAGTACAAAATAACAGTAAACATTTTTTTTATATCTGTGTACTTTGATAGTACACACAAAAATAATCTTAAAGATGTTTGTAAAATGTTGGTTGATAGATAATATATATATGTATGTATGTATTATTACTATTTTGTGTTTTATTGTTTTTGCATCAAGTATTTACTGATCTGAGAAGATCTGAGAAAGCATTTTTAAATTTTTGAAGAAAAGGCTATTATTTTTATTCAGAAACGCGATTCATTATTTATTTTTCATGAAACTGTGATTTTTTAAGCTTGAAACGACTTGCTTATTGACTTGAAACGATTATATTGTTATTTTTTAGATAAAAATAGATGTCTGTGTGTAAGATTTATTTATTTATTTGATGATTTTTAGAAGAACAAATAAACGGATTTTGATGGTTTGAAGTTAATTTGTTGGACATATCAATTGCTTTTGGAAATACTGAAGAAACAGTACATAAATGTATTTTTATGTATTTGAGATAGGCATATCAAATTTATTACATTTTTTACGGATACTTTAACAATATGCAAATCATAAACTTTTAATTATGTAAATTCATCATGCAAGTTTAGAATGATTTGGAATAAAAGGTGCCAATAGCTTGTGGTATACAGATTTCTACCGACGCCTGACGGCCTAAAGTCGATGTCTTCCTGTGATTTGAGTGACGCACCGATTATTTTGTATGTATGGTCACACACACAAACACACAAACAAGTTCGAAATCTCCTTGTGATTGGGATTAGACCCAGAAATGACTCAGTCATCAATGTATGACTTACTTACAATGTAACATGTAACGATTCATATACACTAGACAATGCACCAGAACTTCAAAAAATTTAAGAATATCAATATTACCAAGGTTTCAATGGCAACAGATCTATTCTATGCATATGACATTTTTTTTGGATCTTCTCTTTTTATCAAAATCAGGATGAATTATATTAAATTTATCTCTGCGTTAAAATTCTGCTCGAAGTCCATATGGTTTAGAGATTGCTCGGATATTTGAGGTGTTACGTCAGGAGTCGGAATCAAACAGCCGTCTGGATTGAATTGGAGACCGAATTTATATTGTATTTTATGTTTATATACTTTGCCAGGAGCCAGCATTATAGATGGAAAATTTTCCTGCAAAGGTAAATTTAAATTATTTATTCATCCTAATTCATTTTATATTAGTCAAAAAAAAAAACATTCTAAAAATGATCACTGAAATTTTTGTCGCAGTTGCTAATTTGGAAACGATTAGGTTGACATTGTCTTGTGATATCTGACAATATTTTATATTATTCAGGTTTGTATAAAGACATTATTTATATCAGTATTATGATTTTAATTATATGGAATATTTATACTATAACATCAAGATTATATTTTATACACACGAGAGTCTTAGTTTCTGTAAAGTTTTTACTACTGCTCGAAGAACTCTGTTTTTGCAACAAAGTCCGATTGGTTTATATTTTTTGCAGTTTTGACTGTTTATAAAATTTGACGTTTTTAAGTTATTCTGAATTGTTATCAAATTTCTAATATATACTATGAAAATAGCACAGCTGGAATATTAATGGGTGAATTATTTATCTGTTCTCATAAATAAGGTCATCGTCTAAATCTTAATTACTACATTTCTGTTTATTATTCTTTATTAGTTTTATTATTTTAATTATATTAAATAAACTTTTACTCACATGATGTAAAGCATCAGGATACGCCTCGGTGCTTAAACAAAAGGCGCCGTGTCTTGTATAAACTGCACCCCCTTTTCCAAACATCGGCGTTTGGCACATGCCGTATAAACCCCCGTCAGTAGTGCCTTCTCTTCCCGACTGTTTTTAAATGAATAAACTGTATTAAAAATTTATTTAAAAAAAAAATCACTTTTTTTTATTATCACTTACTTTATCGAGCGATCTTCCACTGCTTTCCTTACTTGCTCCGCTTCCAATAAAACTTTGACCGGGACCCCAAAAGCCGCCTGGCCCACCAAAACCACCAGCTCCTCCAGGTCCTCCAGCTCCTGCACCAAATCCTGCTCCTGGTCCTCCTGGTCGTCCTGATCCACCTGCTCCTCCTGCTCCTCCTGCTCCTTCTTCTTCGCCGCCGTAACCTGGTAGCCCAGACGTAATCCCCGAGACAGTTCCTGGTGCCAAGGGCGAACCTCCGCTGCCTGGAGTGCCTGTGACGGTGGAACCACCAACCCCGGGAACTAATAAAAGATACTTTTTAGAAGTGAATAGTGCGTTGTAAAAAGGTAGATTTTTTGCTGGTTTGATTTTATTTGTTGTCATTTTGTAGGCTCATGTCGCAGAATCGGAAGCATCTGTCTTAATTAACTTGATATATTAGATTAATTGACTGTATATATGTGTCATCAGTACGTGTACAAATTTGTTCTTAAACCTAAATCATCTGCCTCATTGGATAAGACTGATATAATAAAATGGTTTGATTAAAAATGCCAACAAAATTATTATTCACTTTCGCACTTCTACTTATTCAAATTACATTGGTCTTTGTCAGGATATCATTTCATGTACTTAGAAGTCAATTAAAATGCTCGACCAACATTTTAGTGGACATTCCTAGCATTCTTTTGAAACGCTTTCAGATCATGCAAAAAATTGATGGGTCCTGAAGGGACTATTTTGAACCGAGATGTTTTCAGAAGAGTTCTTGTCGTTAATTTTTCAGCTGAGTTTTGTATATTGGCGATAAAACTGGAAATTTAAACATTATCATTAACTTACGCTGGGATCCTTCCCGGAGTTGGCGTTGCCGCAAGACTTCTCGATCAGCCAAAGCTTTCTGCAACAAATCTCGCTCAGAGTCTGTAAGGCGACAAGGACAATCTGGAGAACACGCTGCACCATATTTTTCTAAAAATGGCGGCGGATAAGGATCTGAAAAAACAAAATGTAAGGATAGTAAATATTATCAATGTTTATAAATCAGATCGCGCTGAAAAAACATTTATAATAGAGTATGAGACCCAAATTAATTTAATTTAATTTTTGACGTCTAAAGTACTTGTTCTATATTTTTTAATAGACATCCAAAATTTTTATAACGAATATTATACATGAACCATTTGAAAAACATTAAATATTGAAATAAGGCTGGCAGTGTATGTTAGAATTGGGCCTAAGGCATACTGCTAAAACTTGCCGTGGAGGAAATGTTCTATGAATAAAATTAACTAGTGGAGTGCATGGCATCGTGCCTTAAGGCAAATTGCTAGAACTTTCCGTATCGTAATTAAAAATCTTGGTACGGAACCCAAAAAAAATTACACAAAATGTGTACACATTATTAAAATCTCTATAAAATATCTGATAATTTCATGTGCATATGTTTAATGATCTTCTTTGATCGCCAAAAGGCATTTTCTTAACTTATTTTTATTGAAAGCCCATAATTGCTAGACCTGTCTTCCCAAATCAGTTCTTCACCTTGTCAATACAAGTAAAATGTTTTTTGAATTATTAAAATCGGACGCTCCGTTCTCTTAAAACCATTTTTGACACCTTTTTCCTCGTATCTCCAAAACGGCTACACCTGCCTTTGCCAAAAACTAATCAGCACGTCTCATTATCAATAGGAATCGAACGTTTTTTGAATCATTCAATTCGGTTGAACCGTGTTCTCGAAATCATCAACGAAAATTTGTATTCGCAAACACACACGCAAACACAATATACACCTACACAAACATCCATTATTTCTAATATATACCAAAATGTTCAGAAAGCTTTGAGACGTAAAGGTATATAAACATTTTTTTACGTAGATCATCAATCATCTGCATTCTTCTTCTACCCAATTCTTTAAGTTCTTATATTTTACCTTCAACAACGTCATATAAAAAGCACTCTTTTTGCATGGGTCTGAACCAGTTTCCTTTTCTTTTGATGATTGTGCTCAGTAGAGTTCTTTCTTCACCCACTCTCTTCTGCACTTCATTTTATATCTTATTTGCGCAATTTATCTTCTCTATTCGCCTCCAGCACCACTCTCCGTAAACTCTCCGTATAGTTTTCGTCGACCTTTTTCAAAGTCCATGTCTCTGATCCGTAAGGAGCTATGCTCCATACCATATATATATTATAAATATGATTGTTATGAAGCCTCCCTTTCGAGAGGCCATCCAAAAATTGTGCATGTAATGCGAAACATCAATATGAAGCCGAGAAATTCACTGAAATATATAAACTATCCAACAGTACTTTGCAGCGCGAGTTAGAAAACAAAGATTCTCACCATACCAAAGAACTTAATAATTACACAAGATGTATGGTTTTTCTTGATTATTTGATAATATGTTATTGTTTGAACTTAGAAAAATATATAAAAAATTTAAACGAATATGTTTTGCATCAGAATATCTTTATTTAAATTTTTTTGTTTAAATTTTGAATTATTTACAAATGAAAAACTATGTTTGATGAACTTTTCAAAATATATAAAATTGTTACAATTAACAAATAAAAGTTAAAATCAAAACGTTTTGAAAAAAAACATCATTAAAAATTAAATTTATTTATACAAATAGGGGAGACTGGGTCCGAAACACACC